TTTAGTGAAACTCATGGTGGTAGGGGCACCACAGGACTAGAAAATCTCAGGGGAGGCTGCAACACCCTCGAAACTGCAGTTTGGTAACATTCAGAGAGCAAGTACCACCATTAATTGAAAAAGAACGCCTTGTTTATTTCTTCTCTTCTCTGCCGAGTCTTTCTTCTATGCCCGAAAATCGACACTCGACCAAATGTTAATTTTCATCACTCCTCCCATTGCGTCGTCGCCGCCCGAGTTTTCCTCCTACACCCCGATGTGACTGCGGTGCCCCACCGTGAGATCGCCCATCCGTCTGTCTTCCTCGCCCTAAGGTGACTGTTATTCCTTGTCGCAAGCTCTCTGCCCTGTCACCTGTCCTCCTCGCCCCGACGACACCTAGTTCTTCGATGGTGTCCTTCTCCATGTTGCTCATCACCTTGACTCACGCCAAGACAAGAAGACAACATGTGACTTGCTATGCTTGTTGGCACAGTCAGTGAGTTGCTTTGGCAAGATATGCATGTAAAACATGTTTATTGTTGTATCCGGTTGTCATTTGAGTAGTAACCAATAGAAGATCTTGACCCTGTTGACGGCATTTGCTGCACCAAATGAGAGCAGAGCTGTAATCCTTGTCAGTTCCACACATGAGGAGGTCATAAGCACCCTCATCAGATAAGTCGCCACCATTATATTAGAAACCGTCGATCCGGCCCATCGAAGGACCGAAAATCCTACATCGACGGAAGCAGAAACACGCAGCTCATCCGAGGCAACAACAACAGTAAGATGATTCCGCAAGGTCGAATGTAAATCGTCCCGTGAAACTACCAAAGCAAAATGCTTGGCCATCGGAGAAACTAGAATTCCTTTTGATGGCCCCCAAACTAAAAATGGGAGGAAGGTGAAAGAGATGTTGTGCTAGTTGAGGTTTGTTGGCTTGGGAAAGGGAGATTTTTTCTTATATATATATATATATATATATATAAAAGGGGGGAAAAAGGGAAAAGGAGGGGGGGACTCCACCCCGACCCGCCATCTTTGCCGTGGGGCACCCCGGGTTCCCCAGTATTTCGTCCCCGAGCCCCGGCGCTTGTCCGTCTCCTGGTCAGGTCAGGTGCTCGCTCGCTCCTCCGTCCCCGGAAGAAATCCCCAATCCCTCCTCACTCCGATCCACTCGATCGAGCCCTAGCCCCGCATCCCCGACCCCGACCCGATTCCGGCCGCCCCGATCCGATCCTCTCCCTCCCCTCCCGTCCACCGCATGCGAGGCTCCGGCCGGCGGTAGCCTCGGCTCGCGCGGACGGACAGGCAGGGCGGCGGCCATGGAGCCGCGCATCGGCAACAAGTTCCGCGTCGGCCGCAAGCTGGGGAGCGGCTCCTTCGGGGAGATCTACCTCGGTCCGCCCCCCTCCCCTCCGGCCGCCAGATCCCCCTTTCCTCCCAAAGCCATCGCCTTTTTATCTTCCTCTTTCTTTTTTTAACAAATTCCGTCTCCGTCTCTCTGTGCAGGCACCAACGTGCAGACCAACGAGGAGGTCGCGATCAAGCTCGTGAGTTCCTCCGTCCCTCTCTCTCCACGACGCTCATCAATTTTCTCCGCCCCCCGTGGTGTGGTTTCGGGGGATCTAGGTCGAATTGGATGCTAGATTTGACGAATTGCCATGCCATGATTTTCTTAGCGTCGGATTAATAAGGCCGTGGAAACCCGTGGATTACGCCGCTTGTCAATTCCTGTAGCTGATGCTCATGGAATGGTGATGCATGGAAGGATTTGGGGTGCTAACTGAATTATGTGCTTTGGCTGGCTGTGTGCAATGCAGTTTGGTCTACCTGTCTAGTTACATGCTTTAGCTGCTGCTGCCGAAATACAAACCTTAATTAAAGAGATGGAATACACAAATGTCGATGCCCCTCTGTTTGCTTTTCCTAGGCTAGGATTCATTTGCTCAGTCTCTTACCGCAAGCTTGTAATTACATGTTTTGTCTGCCAAAATATGAGATTCTTCAAGAGATGGAATGGAACACACAAATGTTTCGCACCAGTATAGTTGCTTCTGTTTCACTTTTCTGTAGGCTAGCCTTAATTTGCTTTGATCTCATAACCATAATAAGTTTCTAATTTCATTACAAGTGTTCTGCCTGATTCATTTACCCGAGGTGATGCTCTTTGATTCGTCTTGTTTCTGCGTGGTTTTGCTCAGGAAAATGTCAAGACAAAGCATCCGCAGCTGCTGTATGAGTCAAAGCTGTACAGAATACTTCAAGGAGGAAGTAATATATATTTTCCTGCTTCCTTGGTCTTACTTGGTCCAGTCTCTTTTCTCTTGTTTATTTATTCACGGAGGGATCAACTGACTCCCCCTACTGTTCTCCAGCTGGAATCCCAAACGTCAAGTGGTTTGGTGTGGAGGGTGATTACAATGTTTTGGTGATGGACTTGCTGGGCCCAAGCCTCGAGGATCTTTTCAGTTTTTGCAACAGGAAGCTTTCTCTAAAAACTGTTTTGATGCTTGCTGATCAAATGGTATGCAACACCTCAGATTCCCTTGGCATCATTACTTTGGTCTCTTTCGTTTCATCATGTGGGATTTGAATTACTTCCTTTTTTTCAGATCAACCGTGTCGAATTCGTCCATTCCAAGTCTTTCTTGCATAGAGATATCAAGCCGGACAATTTTCTCATGGGTCTTGGGAAAAGGGCAAATCAGGTCAACGCTACATTCCACTGGCATGCCTTTATTGATGGATGTATTATTGGTGTTCTTATCTGCAACTTTCATCTATCTGTAGGTTTATTGTATAGATTTTGGGCTTGCAAAGAAGTATAGGGATACATCGACACACCAGCACATTCCATATAGGTAAATGTTATATCCCATTGTTGATCTACTTGAAGAGATTTGGATGCATTCTACAGTATATTGTCAAAGTTACGGCTATTCTTTTGATGTTGCCACACATAACTTCTTTACATTCATGGCATAAGCATTTTATGCTCATGCCTGAGTTTTGCACTGATTATATAATTTAAATCAGTGGACAACACAGTATCTGTGGCAAAACTTATGACCGTTCTCTATTTAATCACAGAGAGAACAAGAACTTGACAGGAACAGCAAGATATGCGAGTGTAAACACTCATCTTGGAATTGGTAAGTTTCCTTGACTGTTGGCTGTGTACTCCTTTATTCTGTAACTGTACTTAGACTCCCGAGGCATCTAGTGTTATTTGTTCCTTGTAAAATTCTCTTACCTTTCATGCATTAATCTGTTCAGATATCCTAATTTATTTTTCTGCTTCACCGTAGAACAAAGCAGGAGGGATGACATGGAATCTCTTGGATATGTGCTGATGTACTTCTTAAGAGGAAGGTTGTTGACAATAACCACACGTGATTTTCTGGCAGCCTAATTATCTGCACTGACACATGCTGTTGTTGCTGTCAGTCTTCCATGGCAGGGTCTGAAAGCTGGGAACAAGAAACAGAAGTATGAGAAAATCAGCGAAAGGAAAATTGCCACTTCAACTGAGGTAGCGTGTGTTCTTCTCTATATCCTGCGTTCACCACCATTGAGGCATTATTTTCTTAATTGTATTCTCTTGACTGTAGGCCCTCTGTCGTGGATATCCTACTGAATTTGCATCTTATTTCCATTACTGCCGCTCACTGCGCTTTGAAGATACGCCAGATTATCAGTATCTCAAGAGATTGTTCAGAGACCTTTTTATTCGAGAGGGTGAGTTTTCTTTTTTGCATGTTTTGAACTTATAATCATTCATTTAATTTAGTGATTGATGATTCATTGATGTTTACACACCAAAATGCTGCAAATTGCTCTCCTTTTAAACTCTTGACAGAGCAATGTTTGGTACTTGCAGGGTTTCAATTTGATTATGTTTTTGATTGGACGATTCTCAAGTATCAACAGTCACAAATGACCAGTGCTCCACCGCGCGCCATGGTCAGTACATTGCAACTGTTCCTCCTTTCCTTAATGCTGCACACATGACGATTCATGTCTTACCGTTTGCTGCTTTCCTTTTATGTTAGGCCGCGGCAGCAGGACAAAGCTCTGGGATGGCTCCCATGGCAAATAGACAGTCAGGTACAGTATATTATCCATCTCATGATGGATTCTAGAGTATCTTATCAGTTATTTATATGCAAGGCAATAAGTTAGTATCTGTAGTAGATGTAAGTCTGTGTATTCTTCAAATAAGATGGTATTTCCCTGGAAAATAGATTTTTGAAATGTGCATGTGGTACAACCAGGTTGAGATTACAAAATGTTCGTACTAGTAGGGAGTTAGAAATCAGGCTCATTACCTGTTGCTTTGTTCTGTTGAGTTGGTTAATTGTATGTATATCCGGGAACCGTTTAAATGATAATCACATAAGCGTGTGGGAAATACAGATGTATGATAATGAACCCATTGAGACCAGTCGCAGTTTGGTCTTTGCCTCGCGCCTTTATGTGTTTAACAACCGTGCGCTGAATGGATGCAGTCACTGAAGAAGGGAGGAGGAGCGGGTGGTCAGATATGGATGGCATGCGGCGCCAGGTTCCACCTCCAGCTATAAATGCAGGCAGCCTGGCCAAACAGAAGTCGCCAATCAGACATGACCAATCCACCTCAAAAGATGCTATGGTAAGTTGTCAAGAGTTGCTACGTATTTCATCCCATCTGTCTCTTGTTGCTAGGGAAATATGCAGACCACTGAAGTGGTCTTGTGTACATACATACATAAAACTGGCCTGTAACACCTGACCCTTAAATGACGTGTAGTTCTCCAGTTCGACTTTGCTGGGACGGTCAAGCGGATCCTCAAGGCGACCTGCTGTCTCTAGCAGCCGGGAGCCGAGCACGGACGCGGAGCAGACGCGCAGCCGCACGACTGACGCGAGCCCAGGGGCGTTCCAGCGGTCGTCCGCCCCGCGGTGGAGCCCGCAGGTTGGCGACTCGTCGGACATGAGGGGCCGGTCGTCCTCGGGCAGGCACCAGTCGTCGAGCGCCAAGAACTACGAGTCCACGGTGCGGGGCATCCAGGGCCTCAACTTCGACGGCGACGACACCAGGAACCACTACTAGGCCCCGAGATGGAGGAGGCCGGGCAAATAAGAGGTGTGGTCTGGCGGGGATGTCTCAGCCAGGCAGCGGCTACCACGGGCGGGCGTGCCATGGTCTTCTTTATAACGAATGAATGGATGGAAATGGAATGAACGAATGGTGTTTGATGACGGCGGTGGGTTGCTTGGCCGTTTTAATTTGTACAGTTTGTTTCTCCCCTTTGTTGTGGTCGCTTGCGGCGTTAATTTTAGTCCCTTGATGAAGATGGATGATGTTGTATTTCGGAGAGATGATGCAGGCCGGCGTGGCGTAACGCCGCTCGTTTGGAATCCCTTGGTTTTTAAATTAAAATGGCCGAATGCCTGCGAATATATAATACATGTTTTAAAGTTGGTGAGACTGAGAGCTGCTGCTGTTGATTCTGTTGCCAAAGCTGAGATGATTGACTGCTAGCAGATTTGCATTTCATTCTAGTTTGTCGAGGCTTGAGAATTGCTGCTGCTTATTTATGCTTTTGGCAGGGCTGAAGTGGTGTGCTATTCCTTGTAAAAATGAAGTAACAAATCCAGCTCCTTACTTTTTTTTTGAATGAATGGAGATATATGCATCTCTTGGAGCTGTTCATGCCAATTGAGAGATCTGTTTTTTTTTTCTGAGGGAATGTGAATGGTGATCTTTTTCAAAATATGTTTTTGGAGATTTCTGTATGCTGCTGAATTTACAATTGAGTTTTTGGTTGAGGTCTGGAACCACTTTGACTGTCTGCTTGTATCAGCACCAAACTTCATCAATCTCAAGACCAGCCAGCTCAAGGAAAAAGGATAAAAGAACTTTCTTGGAGGTGCTCGTAGAGGCAGGGTATGCATGTGTGCGTTCATAGGGTACTGTAATGTGTTTGTCAAAAAACAAAATACTCCAATGTAGTTTTCCCAAACCAAATTTTGAACTTTGTTAAAAATCTTGAGACCAAATTAACTTTGCTACACCATCAACCTGGCTATTTTTTTGAAGAACAAACTTGGCACCTTTTTATCATCTACTGTATTTTTTAGTTTTTTTTAGACAATACTGTATTTTTTGTAGTAATAAGCACTTGTTTTATCATCAAATTTTTGGCAAATCGGAGTAGAACATTTTTCTATCATCCACTTTTTTTTGAGGGCAAAACTAAGCTTTATTGATGATAATCCACATGGAGTGGGATAGCACATGTTTTTTAAAATGGTATCCGTTCAAGTCCGTGGGCCTCGTGGCCTGGCCCTCGCCCAACTGCCAGCCCGGTCCGGCCCTCGCCCAACCGCCAGCCCGGCCCGGCCCGGCCCAGGGAAAGAAGGACGCCACGAAATTAACCACAGCCTGAGAAAACACAAGGGGAAAAAAATCTACTCTTTCTTCTTCTCCAATCTCTCTCTCTCTCTCCAGTCTCCCTCACCGGCTCCGATCACCCGGCGGGTGGGCTCGCGGCGGGGCGCACCCCATCCCCTCCCCCCCATGGCCTGGCGGCTCGCCCTCTCCAAGGTACTCCCTCCCTCCCTCCGCGAACAAGATTCCTCTTCCGTCCCCTTCCGTCCGCCGCCGGCGCCGCCGCAGGCGATCCCGCCCGTGTCGGTAACTTGGATCGGCCGCGCGTGCCGCGGGTTCAGGGCGCCCGCCGCGCCGTCGTCCGCGGGGCTAGCTAGGGTTTATTAGGGCGCCGCGAGTCTGACTCTGGAATATTCAACCCCCCGCAATACATAGATACTACGGAGGGAGTAGATCTTACCGCGCCGGCCTACTTCTCCTCCGCCGTCCAGTGCCTAGCCTAGCCGCCGTAGCCGGTGGCTGTCGAATCACGCCAGTGCAACGGCAACTATGCAGACTAGTAGTAGTAGGTTAGGTTAATTGTTCGTCGCATGGAGAAAATAAGGCTGAAATCTGTAGCAGATGGATGGTGCTTAGAATTTCTATCTCGGACCGTCGAATGCCAGGCGGCGGTGTCTCGCCCTTTATTCAGAAATCAGATGTTGCATATCCAAGGCAGTGGCTACCCCCTTTTCAGGGATATTTGTTTGTTTGTTTGTTTGTACCGCTGTCGATTGCTCTGTTTGGCATGCCGTGCTTCTTGTGTTTTCACTGATTCAAGGCTATGAATGAAGATGCTGGAGATTTTACTGTTAGAGAAAGGCTAAAAACCACTCCCTCTGTTCATGAATATAAGATGTTTTTTTTTAAACTTTTTTCTGAATCGGATGCATATAGGCCACGTTTTACACTGTTGTTTCACTCATTTCAGTCTGTATGTAGTCCGTATTGAAATATCCAAAACATCTTATATTTATGAACGGAGGGAGTAGTATTCACAATTTCACATGAACCTGCTCTTTTATTCAATTGTTGGAGCTATTGGCCTCTTTGGACTCATGCTGCTTTTAGTCATGCAATAGAGCTTGGTATGTTTTAATCTCCACTTGAGCTTCCATGAGTCACCTGATATGTGATAACCTTGTGTAATATCTTGGCTTTTTAAATATATTTTAGTTAAGTCATTTCAGATCTTTCTTTATGCCTGTCGCTATTGAGATAGCTCAGCTCAGCTCAAACGTTGGTTGCAGTATGTTTGAACTTCTGTTTGTGTCTCAGGCTGGAAGGCGGTCGTCGAGTGTGGTCTACAATGAGCTAGTGAGTACAAGTGCTTTCAGGACACCTGCAAATGGCACCGGTATGGCCTCCCTCCCTCCCTCTCTTCCAAGGACATACTCTTATGTGGAAACAAGCTCCTGGTTTCATTATGCCGAGCATTTCTTTCTATTAGTGTGGCATAAAGAGTTTCCCTTTGTGTGAAAAAACGCATCTTACTGTACTCCAGGTCTCATGCTTCAGTTGTTGCTCATGAAAGAAATCCTGCTGTTTGCAAACTGAGGTTGGGTGTTCTAATTAATGCAGGCGGAGTTCTCAAGGCGCTGCAAGAGAGGTACCGATCAAGCTACGTCGGTAGCTTCGCGCGCAGGCTACGAGACTTTGACACGCCAAGTGATGCCTCCCTTCTTAAAGAGATCTACAGAAGTAACCCAGAAAGGGTCGTGCAGATCTTTGAGAGCCAGCCTTCCTTACATAACAACTCTTCGGCTCTCTCCCAGTATGTGAAGGCTCTTGTCGCTCTCGACAGGCTGGATGAAAGCCCGCTGCTTAAGACATTGCAGAGAGGTAGTGGTCTCTACTGCTTCACTTAAACTGATTGATTTTTTGTGCTGTTTGTTCAAGTGCGTCCTTCATTCAACGTACTGAACATGATACTGTCTGTTTACGCCGTACCCGCACCTTTAACTAGTGGGTTTCTTTTATGATATACGCATGCCCTTATTTTTAACTTTCTGCTCTCATATTTTGATGTTAACACTCAACATGATCTAAACACGCAGGAATTGTCAATTCAGCAAGGGAGGAAGAAGGGTTTAGTGGCATCCCAGCATTTCAAAGTGTTGGCCGTACGACGAAAGATGGGGCTCTTGGTACTGCTGGTGCACCAATTCACATGGTTGCATCAGAGACTGGCCAATTCAAGGAGCAGCTTTGGCGTACCTTCCGAAGCATTGCACTCACTTTCCTAGTAATCTCCGGCATCGGGGCTCTGATTGAAGATAGAGGAATTAGTAAAGGTTTGTCATTTTGATGACTTTATATACATCTCCTGATCCTTATTCAGTTCCAGCAGTAGTCCCTATTGACTTTGAATTATATATGCAGGCCTTGGATTGCATGAAGAGGTTCAGCCAAGCTTGGATTCGAGCACAAAATTCAGTGATGTCAAGGGGGTTGATGAAGCTAAAGCTGAACTCGAGGAAATAGTTCACTACCTACGAGATCCCAAGGTGAAGTTTTATCACTCTGCTGTTTCCATCCACCAGTGAATTAGGAAGATATTAACAGCTGGGTAATGATACTGTAAACAAATATGTCTACACTCTTCCCCAACGAGGCTGCTATCATAAACAATTAAACATGCTGTGCTGTACTGAAATTTAAAGACAGATACAGTTTAGTTAATACCAAATCAACTGGTCTGCTACATGATAAATTGATACTTCATGTCATGCCTCCCTTTCCCTCTATTTGTTGTGATTTTTAGCCCGCAGAAGAACTGCATTTCCCATCTAATATTTTCATCCTGGTCTTCTAGAGATACTCGATAAATGATAAAAGTCTTACATAGAATGAAATATACGCTGCAGCTTACATGGAAAGAAAGGCTCTTCTGCCTTTCTTTTGAAAAGTTTGCGCCACTTTACTTTGTACTCTTACATTATGGGACAGAGGGAGTAGCTTTTAAGTCTTACATAGAATAAATGTCTTCAGTGTAGCTTAAACCAAGTTTGGTGCTGAGCTTTTCTTGCATGAGTACAAAGTAAAGTGTAGAATAAATGTCTTCAGTGTAGAATAAATGTCTTACATAGAGTCTTTGCGCCACTTTATTTCAAAGTGTCAAAAAACGTCTTACATTATGGGACGGAGGGAGTAGCTTTTAAGTCTTACATAGAATGAAATATACTATTGCTTTTGTCATGACATTGTGCCTTTTATACTGTGTCCTTGGTGCTGAGCTGTTAAACCAAGTTTTGCTTAAAGATGTGTAGAGTGTTTCATGTGATGTGCCCTTGTTCTTTTATAAGTATTCACCATCACCTTTCATGCTTTGCAGCGTTTCACACGCCTTGGTGGCAAGCTTCCAAAAGGTGTTCTACTTGTCGGCCCACCCGGGACAGGGAAAACCATGTTGGCAAGGGCTATCGCTGGGGAAGCTGGCGTTCCTTTCTTCTCCTGCAGCGGCAGTGAGTTTGAGGAGATGTTTGTGGGTGTCGGGGCAAGAAGAGTGAGGGATCTATTCAGTGCAGCAAAGAAACGATCTCCATGTATAATTTTCATTGATGAAATTGATGCAATTGGTGGGAGCAGAAACCCAAAAGATCAACAGTATATGAAGATGACCTTGAACCAGTTACTTGTTGAGCTGGATGGCTTTAAGCAGAATGATGGGATCATTGTAATTGCAGCAACAAACTTCCCCCAGTCACTAGATAAAGCCCTTGTTAGGCCTGGGCGTTTTGACCGTCATATCGTGGTTCCTAACCCAGATGTTGAGGGCCGACGGCAGATCCTGGAGACTCATATGTCAAAGGTAAAGAATCCTTCCTTATCCCATGCATTTCTCTTGTAATGCTTGATTGGTTTTCTCCACATAATTTAAGGCAGCTGACTCCACCTTTTCTCCCTGAACTGAACTGCAGGTGTTAAAAGCAGACGATGTGGATTTGATGACCATTGCCAGGGGAACGCCTGGATTCTCAGGTGCAGACCTTGCAAACCTGGTGAACGTGGCTGCTCTCAAGGCTGCCATGGATGGAGCGAAATCTGTTTCAATGACCGACCTCGAGTTTGCCAAGGACAGGATCATGATGGGCAGCGAGCGCAAATCAGCAGTGATATCCGACGAAAGCAGGAAGATGACTGCATACCATGAGGGAGGGCATGCGCTGGTCGCGATACACACGGCCGGTGCCCACCCCGTCCACAAGGCCACCATTGTTCCGAGGGGAATGGCTCTGGGCATGGTCACGCAGCTGCCAGAGAAGGACCAGACCAGCGTGTCTAGGAAGCAGATGCTGGCAAGGCTGGACGTCTGCATGGGAGGGCGGGTGGCCGAGGAGCTTATATTTGGGGAGAGTGAGGTAACGTCGGGCGCGTCGTCCGACCTAAGCCAAGCGACCCGGCTGGCCAAGGCCATGGTGACCAAGTATGGCATGAGCAAGCGCGTGGGCCTTGTGGCCTACAACTATGACGACGATGGGAAGACCATGAGCACGCAGACGCGGGGTCTGGTGGAGCAGGAGGTGAAGGAGCTGCTGGAGACGGCCTACAACAATGCCAAGACGATCCTCACGACCCACAACAAGGAGCTGCACGCGCTCGCCAACGCCCTCATCGAGCGCGAGACCCTCACTGGCGCCCAGATCAAGAACCTTCTGTCGCAGGTAAACAGCAGCAGTGACACTCAGCAGCCCCAGGCCGCTGAGGTTCCACAGCAAACACCCGCTGCCCCAGCCTCACCCCAGTCTCCAGCAGCAGCGGCTGCGGCCGCCGCAGCAGCTGCAGCACAGCAAGCAGCGGCTCAAGCCAAAGGAGTCGCAGGCATCGGGTCCTAGCCTCACCGGGCAACAAGAGAACATCAACCCAGCAAAGTGCCATTAATTAGCATGCTGTTTTTTTATGGACAACAGGGCAAATTCTTAGCTGCCGCTGAAGAGAGCATCTGTACTCTGTAGTAATTTAGCTAGTCGGGAGTACAATTTATATGTGTTCTTGGCTGTTGGTATGATGCAGCCTGAAGAAGAAGAAGATCCATCCATGGCAGGGGATCCGCTGAGTCATGTCAAGGAGATTTTGTACTCTGCATTAATTAGACCTCTTATCATTTGATCGTCGTGACGTATCATATGTCGCAATCTTGGATAAGTTATAACGCACCGGTTATACTCCAGTTTAGACGGCCTGCCTTGTTGTTGCTGTGGCAACTTTTTTCGATGTTAAAAGCTCACCAGGAATGACATGGCATTGTAAGATCATCGCCTGGTACTCTGTTGTTTCCTTTCTATATATCTGCACGGAGATTGATTCTTGATGCAATTGCATCAGGTTCTTTGGTGTTGTTGATGTTTTTACCTTTGACAAGGTCGGCAATGCGATGTGTAGATCACCTTGTGTGATCACACCAGTGGTAGCTAGTGTGCAACAACATTTTGTCTCCAAAATTTGTGGAAGTATGAACGAATGGAAAACTGGCATTCGAAAGCCTCGCCGGTGGGCTCATTGTAGGGTTTGGATCTGTTGAATTTTGGAAGGCCCCACTATGTGAAGTATCCTGAGACCTATATAGAGAGGTAAAAAAAAAGCATATCTGGCACCCACGTAGATAACACAATCATAGTAACTAATTTAATGTAAAAGCAAAAATATGCTTCCATGGTAGAATCTGGAATAGCCATGTTAACAACTTAACAACAGTACTGCACAGACTGATCGAACCTTGCGAACAACAAATTTTCTTTTAGTTGCTGATTGATTTTGAGATAGCTACCCGCTTATTTCAAGAGGTACCTTGCGAACAACTGTTTGGCCGCAAATCTGCAGCTGATCAAACAGCTCATATCAGCAATTCATAAGAATCATTGGTGGGTGGTCTTCCCATAGTCAAATAGTGACCTCTTTTTAGAATTTGTCATTGTAAGTTCATCTTTATCTCGCGATCTTTTTTGCCTTCTAAAGTAGATGTTTCATTCAATGACTAAAAAGGGATTAATAGACTACATAAGCCAAAATGATTACAAAAACAACATACAAAATTCTTTGTTTTTACTAAGTAAGCCGTATCATCTTTTGCTTCTAAAGTTGGACTATCGGATTATGTGCCGATGGCGTCGAGGACGAAGTGATGGAAATATGTCATAGAGGCAGCAATAATATTTGAGCATTATCTATTTCCAAGTTTATAATTAACGTTTATATTCTATGTTATAATTGTTATGGTTCTCGAATCTTCAATAGCAAGAGGTTCAGAGGAAAAACCCATGAGCATGTACAAGTTATAAACAGTAAAATAAAGATTTCTAGTCTTGCCTCTAGGACTAGCTCATGTATTGACTAATGGTTCTGTTTTTATGATCATGGGCATGAATGATAATGTCGATAATATTGAGAGCAGAATGTTGGTAGAACATTCGTGTTGAATTAACCCAAGTTGTATGTAATATTAAAGATATGAAATCGTCAAAATTCTATAGTCCATAACACTAACACAGGAAGTTAGCATATGCACAATTCCTTAGATCATGAGAGTATCGAGTCACTCCATACTGGAGTATCATCTTTTGCTTCTAAAGTTAACATTTGAGTATTATTTATTTCCCAGTTTATAATTAATGTTTATATTCTATATTATAATTGTTATGGTTCTCGAATCTACAATAATAAGAGGTTTAGAGGAAAACTCATGAGCATGTGTAGGTTATAAACAGTAAAATAAAGATTCCTAGTCTTGTCTCTAGGACTAGCTCATGTGTTGATTAACGGGTCTGTTTTTCTGATCATGGGCATAATGATAATGTCGATAATATTGAGAGCACAATGTTGGTAGAACATTCGTGTTGAATTAACCCAAATTGTATGTTATACTAAAGACACGACGACGTTGGAGCAAGGTGTGGCGGTGGCACGTGACGATGCCATCACAAGGGAGCGAGGTTGCAAAAGCAGTGTTGCTGGCAATGACCCCCCACTTCCCACCCAGTGGGCATGGCGTACGTGCTCAGCAGCGGTGCTTTCCGGAGGAAGAAAAAGGAAGGAGGAAGAGAGGTAGTGCTTGATCGTCTCAGGATGAAGAAAAAGGAAGGATGGAGAAGAAGGAAGGAGCAACAAGAGGAAGAAGATGACGACTCAACGCCGGCTCTTAAAAGCAATTATCGCTCACACTGAGTATTATTCTGCGCCCGCCCATGGTGATGCACAACCGAAGAGGTTTGGGTCAAGGTGGTTACGGGAAGCGAAAATTAATGATACTGTAAAGGAGGCTTGGTAGAAAGTAGGTTCAGATCCTACTACCAGCTCGGTGTATGAAAAGCTAAATCGCATGCATGCGATGTTTCATGATTGGGACCAAAGGGTTCTCAAGAAACCTAAACAGCGCCTCCGTAAGGCGCAATGGAACCTTGAAAGGGTGATGGCAGGCCTGTTGGGGAACGTAGCAGAAATTCAAAATTTTCCTACGTGTCACCAAGATCTATCTATGGAGAAACCAGCAACGAGAGGAAGGAGAGTGCATCTACATACCCTTGTAGATCGCTAAGCGGAAGCGCTCAAGAGAACAGGGTTGAAGGAGTCGTACTCGTCGTGATCCAAATCACCGGAGATCCTAGTGCCGAACGGACGGCACCTCCGCGTTCAACACACGTACAGCCCGGTGACGTCTCCCATGCCTTGATCCAGCAAGGAGAGAGGGAGAGGTTGAGGAAGACTCCATCCAGCAGCAGCACAACGGCGTGGTGGTGATGGAGGAGCGTGGCAATCCTGCAGGGCTTTGCCAAGCACCTACGGGAGAGGAGGAGGTGTCACGGGAGGGAGGGAGGCGCCAGGGCTTCTGGTATGGATGCCCTCCCTCCCCTCCACTATATATAGGGGCAAGGGAGAGGGGGGAGGCGCAGCCTTGCCCCTTCCTCCAAGGAAGGGGTGCGGCCAAGAGGGGGGGAGGAGTCCATCCTCCCCAAGGCACCTCGGAGGTGCCTTCCCCCTTGAGGACTCTTCCCTCCCCAAGTTTCCTTGGCGCATGGGCCTCTTGGGGCTGGTGCCCTTGGCCCATATAGGCCAAGGCGCACCCCCTACAGCCCATGTGCCCCCCCGGGGCAGGTGGACCCCCCCGGTGGACCCCCGGACCCCTTTCGGCACTCCCGGTACAATACCGATAAAGTGCGAAACTTTTCCGGCGACCAAAACAGGACTTCCCATATATAAATCTTTACCTCCGGACCATTCCGGAACTCCTCGTGACGTCCGGGACTCCGAACAACATTCGGTAACCACATACAAACTTCCTTTATAACCCTAGCGTCATCGAACCTTAAGTGTGTAGACCCTACGGGTTCGGGAGACATGTAGACATGACCGAGACGTTCTCCGGTCAATAACCAACAGCGGGATCTGGATACCCATGTTGGCTCCCACATGTTCCACGATGATCTCATCAGATGAACCACGATGTCAAGGACTCAATCGATCCCGTATACAATTCCCTTTGTCTAACGGTATTGTACTTGCCCGAGATTCGATCGTCGGTATACCGATTGTAACGCCCGGATAATCATGCTACAGTAAACTCACGTTGATGGTGCCACGTCACCTCTGTCACTGTAGTTAATCTCGGGTTAATTCAAAACTGTTTTGAAATTCAAATGCAAGTTAATGATAACAATAAAAGTTTCCAGAAATTAAGACCAAAATGTTCGGTGATTGTCAAATATTACAAAGGTAATTGTGGTGAGATAAACACATTTTTATAAAAGGCCTAAACAGTTTAGAATGATTTAAAACAGAAAGAAAATAGAAAAGAAAACAGAACAAAAAAAAGGAGGGGAAGCCCCCTGGACCAGGCAGCCCAACCCACCCGCACGGCCACCGCCCAACCCCCTGGCCCGCAGCCAGCCTGGCCGGCCCAGCTCCCGCACCGCGTCCCCTTCCCCTATTCCCCCGACCCGGGTCGGAACAGGGCACGTCCCAGCCGACCCCCCCCCCCCTCGCCGGCGACGAGACGAGGGGAT